AGAATAATGTTTGATATTTCTGGTTGCCTTTTTCTCTTATGGTGTTCACATTTTTCGATGGTGCCATGCTAGTAGAAATAGGATAATGTACTGAAGCTGAATACTGTGGCAATCATTTTATGTGGCTGTGACTGTCATTTGTAACATAGATACAAATTTATTTGTCGTTTCTTGCAGACCAAATATAGGCTGTATCTCGTGCTTGACTTTGTTAATGGGGGGCATCTTTTCTTCCAGCTTTATCGCCAGGGCTTGTTCAGGTATGATATTGTAAGCTGTAACTGCTTTTTGTATTTGTGGTGTGAAGTTTGAAGTTTCTGGAGCATGGTCCAACATTTTGTATTTCCTTCTTCAGGGAAGATTTGGCCCGCATATATACAGCAGAGATAGTATCAGCTGTTTCTCATCTCCATGCTAATGGCATAATGCACAGGGATCTCAAACCGGAAAATATTCTTCTAGATGCAGATGGACATGTAAGAGTGTGCAAAAGGCTCTGTTTGCGCATGTGCCTATGCTGTTTCTCATCTACTAGGGATTGTATTTACTGCTTGTATGTCCATGCTGATAGCAGAATCCAAGGTTCTCAAACCTGAAAATATTGTTTGAAAACGTGTGTTTGACCTGGTAATTGGTTGTTGTTGTGGTCACTATCTATGTGATGGCCATGCTTGGTAAACTGTGTGCATGACTGACTCTTGTTTTACATAGATTGTATTGACTGATTTCTATACTATCTTTATGTTGGTTGGTGCTACCCTTATGCTTACCAGGTTATGCTGACTGATTTTGGGCTAGCAAAGGAATTTGATGAAAATACAAGATCAAATTCCATGTGTGGAACTTTAGAGTACATGTCTCCTGAAATTGTTCTTGGCAAAGGCCATGACAAGGCTGCTGATTGGTGGAGTGTGGGAATTCTACTGTATGAAATGCTTACTGGGAAGGTGGGTACATGATTCTCCACTATGATAATTTTTATTTCTGTTAACATATCTGTGGTTCCTGGTTAGCAGTAGTGTAATTTGATCCCATGTAGTGGAAAAGGCATTGTTGTTTTCTGCCCTTGTCTGGCAAATCTAAACTTTTTGAGGAGCCAAAAAATGTCCATTCTTAATATACATCTTGTCATAATTTCTTTGGGGAGAAAAGATACTTTTCTTTTGTTTTGGGTGCTTGATGAAAACAACTTGACCATATTCTAAATTAAGTAATACTGTTGGGAAGCACACTTTTTATTATAGGAAGTTTGCTTGCCTGCTTCTGTCCTTTAATGGTAGTTTTTGCAGGGAAGTCTCTTCTAGGAGCAGATACGTAAAAGTAATAACTACCTATAATTACAAGTACATCAAAGAATCAGAATTACTTGTCATTCTTCCCATTCTGTTGGGCTTTAATGTAGTCTTGTGATTTCAGATCTTGATTTGTTCTTTTGATCTGGGGAAGTTTTATGTGTAATGTCTCATGCTTTATTGTGTACTTTTTGCAGCCACCCTTCATTGGTGGAAACAGACAGAAGATCCAGGAGAAAATAATAAAGGATAAGATTAAGCTGCCAGCATTTCTGTCGAGTGAAGCGCACTCAATCCTCAAGGGGGTAAACTCACTTTCTCATATACTTTATGCCTTTAACATATGATTCAATGCTCTCAAAAAGTCCAAAACTTGCATAGCTGTGAACTTAATTGTTCTACTCCATGTTATGCAAAAAAGTGTAAAATTTGTTCCAACTGTGAAACTTAGTTGTGCTGCTTCAGGATATGCAATTTTTGCTGTTACTCCTGACCATCCAGTTGCTTGAATATTCTTGCCTCTATGTAACGATTCCTGCTCTAGGCTGATGCTGCAAATAATTAATGAGGAAATTTGGATTTAAAAGAGTTTATTTTTCTCTTCAGCTGCTGCAGAAAGAAGCAAGCAAGCGTCTTGGCAGTGGACAAGGTGGTAGTGAGGAGATCAAACGTCATAAGTGGTTCAAGTCCATTAACTGGAAGAAACTAGAGGCTCGAGAGATTAGGCCAAGTTTTCTCCCTGAAGTTGCGGGGAACCACTGTGTTGCTAATTTTGAGGAGTGCTGGACTAACATGCCACTTCTTGATTCTCCAGTTGCTAGTCCAACATTCGGTGAGAATCCCTTTAAGGGATTCACATATGTGAGGCCTGCAGCCTCATTTCTTCAGAGAAATGCTTGATGTTGTCTGAGATTTCCTATTCGCATATTGCCAAGTGGCTGAATATGGCTGTGCCAGTAGGCATCTGTCGTTAAGTTTGTTGTTTGTCTAATTGTCAGTTATGAACTATATGTATGTGTGTTTTTCCTTTTCCTTTCTGTTCTGTTTCTTTGAACCAAACTCTGCTGTCTGCTCTTGAACATGTATTTTAAGAAGACATGATGGATATTATGAAGATCTGAGCGGTGTTTTTGTGTTGCAGTAGTTGTTTTCTAACTCTGTCCTTATTCTGTTACTTTGATGGTCACAAGGCATAAAAAAATCTTCTTATGTCAAATTGCTTGGGATGTTGAACCAGCAGGACTTTAAACAGACCTTTCCTGGTAACCTCGGATTTCCATAGTTATAACAGTCGCAACATTGATTGAATGTGATGTGCACGTGCATTTGAGTCTGTTGGGGGATTGGTTTGGTTTGGTTTTCAGTGCATGGTGCACAGACAGCCTCAAATGTATGCCTATATACAAAGCAAGAAAACATACGCATTGTGAAAGTTTTATTTCAAATGTACCCAGGGATTGTCAATCATTAATCCTGGATTTGGTTGATCAAATTAGCAAATTGTTTCATACAAAATAATGCAGACCTGGAAACCCCTAAGCAGGCAGAAGAAAAAGAAAGAAAAGAGGAAACAAAGGCTCCAGAGAGTGGATCATGTTTCCTGGAAGGAAGATAAACCGATACTGGCATAGTATTTTAATTTACTTTTTTGGGACTTTTCTTTCAACAAAAAAATAGGAAGTAGCAAATTATGTTCATCACTAGAGGTTCCGATGCATGATCCGGCTTCCAATAAGCCTGAAAAGGAAATAACAATATCTGGTAACTAAACCATTTCAGTTTCTGGAACTTTAATGTCACCAAAATCATTGTCCTCTCCAGATAACTCTTCAAGGGACCGGCCATTGGTTTCTGGCACCAAGAAAGTGAACAAAAACCCAACCATGTTCACGACGGAAAGTGCAATGATTACCTCCTTGATTTTCTTGTCCTCTTGAGTGTATTTCTGGAACACAAATGCAGCTATGATGGCTCCTGCTTTTCCTGCAGCTGCAGAGATCCCATGGCAAGTTGAACGGAGCCGTGCGGGAAATATCTCGGCCGGTACGATGAAGGTTGTGCTATTGGGTCCAAAGTTGGCAAAGAAAAAGGTGAGGCCATATAGAATGGCGAACAATGTGGTGTGCCCGTGGCAAAAGTCCTTGGTCGCACTTCCCTTGCACTTCTCCCCCCTAAGATCATGGTAGCGAAATCCAAGGATCGCCATACAAATGGACATCATAAGAAAGCCACCGAGCTGTATCATGAAGCGTCCAATCTTGTCAATGAGGAACACAGTGAACCAGTATCCTGGAACAGTTGCAGCAAGTGCTATCAGGAACATGGCTTTAGACAGCTGGAAGGTCTCTTCAATAGCATTCATCGACGACGCTTTATCCAACAGTCCACTTGCGGGGTAGACGTCATTCTGAGTGAGCTGGAGACTATAGAAGGCAATATCCAGCAGGAACCAGGTAGTGCAAGTCCCTAGAAGGTGAGTTCCATGCCTCTTCATAAACTCAGAAGAGAATAGTCCATATGATGAATTTGGGTCAACCTTGGCACTTGATTCCGCAACAGTTAGGTCTGTTTCAAGGACTTTGGCCATATCAGCGGCGGCTTTTTTTGGGTCTCCCTGGACCAATGCTGTGAACCTAGCAGTTTCCGGCATTTTGAGACGCCAATAGTAGGTCAAAGCAGCAGGGACGGCTCCAAACATGAGCACAATCCGCCAAACAAAATCTCCTTCTGGTTGAGTTGATAGCACATGATTGGCACTAAATGCATCGGCTGGATAAGCAAGCAAGAATGCCTTGGAGACCATCATTGCTACAATTCCTGCAACAAGTATACCTGTCCCTTGCATTGCAAAGACTGCAGCAATAAATGCTCCCCGGGTTTTTTGGTTGGCATATTCCGACATGATCACAGCCGAGAGTGGATAGTCTCCACCAATGCCGAAACCCAGCCAGAAGCGGAAGAAGCAGAGGGTACCAATCACACTCTTAGCTGTGGAACCGAAGGAAATGCCAGAAGCTATGGCACACCCCACCATAGTGACAAGGGTGATCCCATAAACTTTCTTCCTGCCAAGTTTGTCCCCAAGCCAACCAAAGAAGAGCTGCCCTGCCAACGTTCCAAATAAAGCCACCCCGCTCACAGCATTTTTTATGTCATTTGGGAAAGTGCCTGGCTTGCCAGTCACTGGGTCATAGTAGTACAATCGGCCTATGAGCCTGGATACAGCAGTTATGCAGAAAATATCATAAGCATCAGTGAAAAATCCCATGCCGGCGATAACGATGGCCTTGAAATGGTACTTTTGAGTCCTGGCATCGTCAAGAGCTGATAAAATGGCTTGGCTTCCTTCTGCCATGCTGAAAATAACTTTTGCGAGAATCTGATTATGACAAACAGTGATGGGCTCACCGTGGAGGGGATTCAATGCCTGATTTATGGAGTGGGGAAAGCTCAGAAAAACGGTGTCTTTTGTCTTTGTTTTTGACCTATAAACAAGAAATTCTCTTAGGAGCTAACGTCTAGTTGGAACAGCCACCCAAAAAGGAGTGTGTATATATATATATATACACAGTTTTAGGCTTAGCTTTGGAAACAAGAGACAATTTGGTGTCTAGGAATCATAAAATGCACACTCCTGCGACTTCTGGTTGCTTCAATATATTTCTGCACACTGCATTGGCTCTTCCTTGAGCTAAGAATGAGCTGTGGTCATTTCCATTGTCTTATGTGCACTAGAAAACACGAGGAAACCTCCCAACTTTTTATTGTTTCTCCACTTTTGTGGATAATCCGCTTGAATGATCCCATCCCTTGTCCGGGTGGGATATCTCCAAAGCCTGTTTTGGACTTTCTTATGCAGATTCTCACCACCAATTGAATCCCATTGGATTCTTCGAATTCCCAATGTCATATGTTCTGATTTATGACTTTCTTTTTAAGAAACTGAACGGAAACAACGTTCCTCTGAGGTCCTTAAGAGCCAGATGCTCACATTGTAGAGTCATTTACTCAAAATGGAGATATCAGCAAGCAACGCAACAAGACTTTTGTGTCTTTATGGCTTTCTGGTGACTTCTCTTCTGTTATCTCAAATCAATGCAGGTTCCTCCCTCTCTCTCTCTCTCGCTTTGTTTGTGATTTGAGTGCTTGCAATCCCCACCAATTCAGCTATTGCCATAGCTGGTTGAGGTATATGCAGCTAAGATGACCATGTTCATTTGGAAAGTTGTTGTCAGTTTTAGGATCCTTCAAATGAAAATCATTAGTGTATACATATAAAATATAACTTTATGTGTATGTGTAAGGTCAGATTACACAGTTTAAAATTTATTCATTCTCACTATGAATAATCTCAAATTTATTTCAACTCAAAAGTCAATTACATGTGCTCATGATAACTCCAAAACATTGGATTGTTAATATATTTAGGGAAATTGATAACTTTTAGAGATCTCTAATTCCAGTATAGTCTTCTAGCATTCATTTTAACTATCAGAATCTGCAAAATATTAATAAGTTGATTTAAATACTGCATCTCCCTTTCTCATTTTTCTCTCAATTCAAAATTTGGTGGTTCCCTCATACAACTGATGAGTCTACATGAGGAAAATCTAGTAACTCTTAATTAACTAACTACTGTTTTGTTAGTTTCCTTAAGTTAAAAGGGTGGGGTGGGATGGTAGAATAAGTGTCTTGCAGAGAACCCTGCTCTTTCATAATTATTCTGCATATATGGTCTTTGCAGATGGAAAAATCAAGCAAGTCACAGATCCCACTGGAAATGTAAATCTGAGTCCATTTCAACAGTGGAGAAGTGCTTATGAATGCCTGCAAAATGTATTCTCACCCTCTATATATATATATATATTTGTATTAGTTCTAAACTTTTCAGTTTCCTCCCTTCCAAATGTAATTCTTGCATCAAAGGCTTGTATTGTATTTAACAGAAATCAGAAAGTTACTGTTCAGACAAGTATACATTAACTGAGGCAGGATGGATGAACGTAACCACGGCAGACACAGAAGAATTTTGTAAGCCTGGAGGGTGTGGAGAACATACCATGGCAGTGTTGACTTGCATTCATCTGGTTAAACGAGACTACAAGTTTGCCAACAAGGCTACCGTGCAGGACCTCAATTTCACAATCACACAAGGATGTGACTCTGGTAATTGTTCATTTTGTTTCTCAGTTCTGTAACAGCATGAATTTGAGTTTCTAATTGGACAACATAACTTAGATGCTGCTATCTTTTTGTAGGATTCAATGAGACCACAATCATTAATGATGCCAGAAGGACAGGCAAGAGTGGGATTGAGTTCATAATTTCTATTTTAGTAGCTCTATTTCTGTTGATGCACTTCCATGATTAAACTATTTTGATCCTTCTCTGGCATTATCATATATAAAAGAGCTCTATGTTAGCATATCATTTGTGCTCGATGCTAAACCCTGTACTTCAAATAAAGGAGCAAATAAGAAGGATACATGGTTAGGGAAAGGAAGTCTGTGTTTTGCGCATATGCTGTAATTCATTTTGAAAAAGAAATGAAACAAAGCATGATATGAGTCCTGAGCCAAATCTGGCAAGCAAAAAGACACTAAATAAATTGTAACAATATTGTACTATTATGTTATATATGGAGCTAGCATTATTAGGACAGAAGCAAATAAGCACAAGAATAAGGCAAGTCCCAGCTTAGAGCAGGATATTTAAAGTAATAAACGACAGGTGATGCACTGATTTAGTAATGAGTCTCAGCTTCAAATTGGGGTAAAGGAAGAATAAAAGTGGCAATTTCAGTCCACCAAGACTTATTAGGTTTGACATATCAAGCGAGGTCTAGATTAGACGACACACATAAACAAAGTTGTCTCCAGGGAGTGCACCAGAGGATAGACAGACCGAGGAATATTTAGACAAAAGATTGACTTCAAATACAAGCACCTATGCTGTTTTGGAGTATAGATGCTGGCAAATGATGTCCACAGATCCTTGAAATGACAATGTTTTAAGGCTCCAGATCCCGCCAGTTGATAAAGATCCAGCTAAGCAAAGATGGTTTTCATGGCTCCACAATAAGCTTGAAAGGATCAAATCTGCTGACAAGAAATGAAATACCTTGGAATTACCAGTAAATCCATATAATAATTCAAAGCATGCATTAAATAGGTCTGGAAGTATTAAAGGAAGGAATTACCCTTAAAATAATTTTAGAAGTTTCACTGCAAGGCTCTGTCATCTGCAGGTCCATAATTTGATGCATTCTTAGAACTATCTATGCAAGGGCTGTTCTTAAATTGTTCCACATGTTGGGAGTCCACCAATTGGGAAGGACCTTTCGAGACCTGGTGGGTAAGGATGCATCACAAAGAGTTCAATCAGCAGCTTTAGTAACCAATATACATGGACCAATGTACAACGCACACAAAGGTGCTTGGGCAGGAGAGCATAGTACCTTTTTCCCCTAAAAGGATCATGGAAAAATTTACATTTGCACCAAGGCTAATGAGAGTTCAATTTCTGTCATGGACAATGAGAACGCCTGGAGAGATGCAAATCAAGAAACTCTTCGAGATGCTATTTGGACTAATTTACTTAATCCTGTCTGTTATATTTGTCTGTGCCTATATGCATCATCAAGGAAAAACTTTTTCCAAGTATTTGGTGATTTGATACGAGAATTTGTAGTGTTTATGTTAAAAGGTTCATAGAAATAAAGCCCAGCCTCTAAGTCAGTTTAGTTACAGTCAAACAGAGGTAAAAGGAGCTATGACTCTAAAGGGTACCTAAGAAATACATTTGAAATGGTAATATAAGAAAATACTTGAAATAAATGCATTTTGAGCTTGAGCATGCACAATTCTAGAAACAATGGTGCCTTATGATATTCAAATAGAGCTTATTTCCACTCAGGGTTTTTTTTTTTTTTGAAATTTTTTTCATGGAATTCTCCTACACTACTTAAACCGCAAAAGAAAATCATAATTAAAACATAAAAGCTAAACCAAGTTATTAACCTCATACTCTATATTTTTTGATTGATTTTGTGATTGACTCAAGGTTACTTCAACTCTGGACTTCTAGGCAAAGGATCCCTTGAGAAATGCCAGGAATAGGGTGAGAGCTTGGAAAGGTAAAGTGTATTGGACCTCATATGCTGCAACTCTAACTGTAGCAAATGTTAAACATGTCACATTTTTTTCCTTTCCTTGCTTGGCCAACTGATTGAGAACACCCACCAACCTGAATGTAAACCGAATTGAGCAGCAGACATGATTTGGCAATTGATGTCAACTTATATGCAACATTTTTATTGTGGAATTGCAAACGCATACCTGAATCTTGTCATACCAAGGAGCATAACTACCAAAGCACAAGCTTCAATTCTTTTGCTACCATATTGGCAATTATCCTTGTTTGTGTTAATAGGATTTTTGAATGTTGATCTCCGCTGCAGTGAAGTAGCAGAGGCTTTCTGTCCATTAAGGAAAATGGAGTTTCAAAGAACACCATTGAGTTACTCACCTGGAAAGGAGAATTGGTATACTTCTTCTGAGAAGGTTTGACAGAAGAAATATGATATTAATCTCTATATTCTCTCTTAAAGAGACAAGATGCCTGTAATAGAAACAGGTTTGTTTTAATGTGCTTGCATACTAGCAGAAACATGAGTTAAGACCCAATTAAATAGGCACATCAGAAAAAGTTTTGATAAAGGAGGTATTGTAACGATTCAAGTCCAACCACTGACCCAGGAGCTACAAGAACAATCAAATAATATTGCTAATTAGAAAGAGCCTGTGCATTTTGCATGACATATTTACAAAAATTCACTTGTATCGACCTTCACATGTAACATATTGAGCGCTCCAGATAAATGGTCAGCCCAAGTGTGGTCAGGTCCCCGGGTCCAGTATATGAACCACTTCTTCTTGCTCTTTGTTGACCATTTCGATGCATTCTTTGGATAGATTACCATGAAGGGACTCTATATTGTGGGAATTTTTTGAACCAATTGAGCATGGATATTAGATTCTCCTCAGCTGAAAAAACTCATTATCAGTGCTCTGAGTTTAACAATTACCGATGTGCCTGATGACTTTTTAGCACTAATCATATCGACCTTTTGTAGTATCATTCACACTGAGGTAATCCAAGCTCGTATTTGAGTAAGAAAATGCAACTCCGATCGGACTCTCAAGGTGCAACATGTTTGATTCTGTTCATCGAGAAATGTTAGATCCAAGGAGTAACTTAATTTCACAGTTAGATTTCCATGTCACTGAAGAAATACTAAAGCATTACCAAATTCCATGAATATTCACTCCTGATCAAGTTTCCATCATCCCCTAGCCGGAAAGGACCATGTTCTGTGAATGCACCAAAGCCCAAAGATCAACAACCGGGGCTTGAGAAGAAAACAATGTGCACACAGATAGAAGTTAAGCCAAGTAGGAAACTTTTTCAAACAAGACACGACCACACCTTGGAATTCAACAGCCAAGAGCAGCACCAAACTAGGCCGCAGATTCTTACCTCTATTAAGACACAATGTCAAGGAATGTCACCGTGGGTTGGCAGAATCAACTTCCACAAAGTAGTATGTTTCGGTTCAGTAACAATGTAACCAGAGTGTTGCTTGAACGTAAGATTGGCGACTTGACCTGGGAGAGCTTTTATCACCTCAGCAGAAGCACTGCAAAAGAAGAAGAAGAAGAAGAAGGCGAAACTTCATTCTTTTCCACACGAAGAAGACAGAGTTTGGGTCTTGAGAAAATTTCCTGAAGTGTTATATAGTTTAAAAATACAAAACAAGAAATACGTTATCTGCTTTGAAATGTCCAAAAGCAAAGAACTAAAGTTGTATTCCAGATTAGCAGGACCAGAGCAGAATAGCAGATTGGTTGAAGTCAAAAAAGAACCTAGAAAATTGCCTCATGATGTAAGCATTGCCATTCCACTCAATATCTCATGTGGTTGAAATATTTTTCATTGCTTTATGAGCATCTCATTGGGGAAAAAATAGAATTCCTCACTTAGATCCTTTGCGTTTCCCCTTTTCTCTTCTACTGTTATATTACCCGCCATAATGGCAATTTTTTTTGTTTTTGGAATCATTAGGTTGATGCTTATTTCTTTGCCTATTTCATCCAATTAACTTCCATTACATTAGTTATCAAAATTCCTTTTGGTTATCTGCTATGTGCTACTATGCAGCTCGCTTAAACTTGTATATGAATTATAATTTACTCTCTTGCAGGCAGCTTGTTTGATCACGAAGGCCACCGCTCGGTGCTCTGTGCTTCTCATGACAAGATCCCAAACAATAGGTTTCATCTAGGAATTTCGGTGGTATGTGCATTTTGGAGTTGTTTATGTTCTGGTTGTGGATTTGTACAATAGTTCACTTACCACAAGCAAGGATAAAGGATTTAAGAAATGTCCTTTCAACGGATCTAAGTAAACTCAATCATGGGCTTTTCTTTTATCCGCATTCATATTTTCTCAGTTCACCATATGTAACAATCTTATGACACAAACCATTTTGAATAACAATCTTACTGCTCTTGTTATTCTCATTACAATGATGGGAATCTACCATACAATAAGATAAGCTAAAGAAACTAAAATACAAATTCCCTATTTTGACATCCTTGAAAACATATATGTTACATGCAAAAGTCGAAGTTTGCATGCAAGAAAGATAATTCCCTATCTTCACAAACCAAGGCCTGAGCTAGCTGGCTAGCCTAGGATTATCATCTAAGCCTTGCCTTCCGTCCTGTTAAATAATGAAAGGTTGAAAGGTGTGCAGCGGCGAGAACATGCATTTCTTGGTTATTTGTTAAAGAATCAAGTAGTCATGTATTTTTTTTGTCAATTGACTCTCCATATTCAAAATTTGATCAATTCAATCCTTTAACTTTTAAAATTTGGACAATTTCATCCCTCCCCTCCCCTCTTCTCTGGTCCCCTCCCTTAAGTAGGTGAAAATTTATTAAAAATACTAAACTTCCAAACCCGAGCTGAGCTGGATGCATTTGAATCTTTATATGCATCAAATTTTAATAAATTAATGATCATGTCTAATGCAAGATTATTAGCAATCTCCCCAAATGCTCATTTAAATCATTCCATTTAGGATTTTCCTCACTTGAGTTGCACAATTCTCAATGTGCTTAATGACATTGTTTGATTCATTTCTCTTAATGCATCCAAGCCCAAAGATGAACGACCAGGGCCTGAAAAGAAAACATTCTACAAGCAGACACAAGTTCATCTAAGCACCAACAAAACCACACCCTTGAATTCTACTACAAATGGCATACCAAACAACATTAGCCATATTTGGATTCAGTAACAATGTAACCAGCCAGAGTATTGCTTGAAAGTAAGTAACATTAGCAAGTGGCTTGACCTGGGTTGCTGTTATGTGCAGGAGGCATAGGTTTCAATTTTTGTTTTGTATCTGGGGTCTTGAAGGAGTATTGAAGGTGTATACTCATCATCAATGTAAGGATATCTTGCCCAATAACTCTCTCTGTGGGATGTTTTGGTTTCTGATGATCCCCATGGAGGGCATAAATTTATTTCCTCTTTTCTAATGAAAGCAGATTGATAATTAAAAAACAAAAAGCATGTAACTGTTCTGGTTGGTAGTCAAGGATGTTTCAAGCTGAGATGATACACAGACAAACTTGATACATATTCCAAACTTTCCTGCTTCCTTTCACATCACTAACTATTTCTTCACAGAGTAGAGGTTCAAATTCTGCATTTAATTGTTTGGGGAAACCATTTTTCCATTTTAAAATTTAAAATTTTCTGTAAATAGGACATCTATTGCAAGTGTTGTTCAAACTGTAATTACATGGAGGAACTAAGAACAAGTGATTTGGCTGAGAGCTAGCTAGAAAAAACCTAAGGTGTCAACTCAAGATCTGTTTGCCACATTTGCAATTGCTGCTATCTTTTTTGGGAGTTCTACCTTGTCCGCACCTACAAATTTATCCACTTGCCGTCCATCTTTAAGAAAAAAGAATGTAGGAGTAGCATTGATATCCCACGAAGTGCTCAACTCCTGTTTAGTAATAGGATCAGACAACATAAGTCACCAAGTTATCTCTTAGAGATGGACTAGTAATTCAAGGCAATGATTTGTACAATTTTGATGCAGTGTTTAAATGATAGGGTTAACTTATATAATTCTCTTTCTAGAATGGTAACAGTTCAGGTACAGGGTCAGAAGATAATAAGACATGAAATTTCTTACATTTGAAGGAAGAAAATGCAGTTTCATATATAGGGAAGAGTCATGTTATGCACAAAGTATATTCTGTGGAGAGCTTTATCAAGATAAGAAGAAAAGTGTTTTTAACTTACGGCAAGCTCATCGACATCCACAGTTAGAAACATGAGAGAAGGGTATTTATCTGCAAGCTCGCAGCAGGTTGGTGCTATTGATCTACAAGGACCAGACCATGGTGTACTGAAATTTGCAACAAGCTGTCGGAGGAATGTTAAATGTACAAAAATTAGACCGATACAAAGTGAGAAATTTGAATGGCTCTAAATGGTTATAGTTGCATATCAGTATTTGACATAGAAATCGTGATTTAGAGCTTGCAATCATGATTTACATTTTGCACCAGTTGAAAATGTCATGACATTTATAAACTTACTATCTTTCCATCCCTGGTTGCTTCTGTTAGTTTTGCTTCCCAGCTCTGAATGGTAGTTATATGGTGAACGTTTCTGCAGGCAAGCCCCACACACCGAGCCTGATGATCCTTACCATCTTCATTATGACATTTGAAGAACTGCAAGAACTGTGCACCAGAAGTGATTTAACAATGATTATGGAATATTTGTATATATACACCATATTTACCATCAACAATCATCTGAAGCATGATTTCTTGGCTTTGACTGCAGTTAGATATAAATATTAAGAATTGGAACCAGGAAACTTCAGACTAGAAACCATAATAACCCAAGACCTAAGAAGTAAGAACACCACATAGGAAAAGCACATCAATGATAAAATAGTCTTGTTTTCACAAAGAAACACATAGGTTAATACATTATTTGAAACAAACCATTTAAGAAACCAAAGGCATTCCTGTCAACTGCAGGCAGTTGTAATATGGAAATGAGAGTCTGTAAGGTAGTTGTCAATAAATACAAACACAATGGATTTGCTGTTAAACTTCTGGAAGTCTCCTGCTACAGTTGCTGAAATAACCATTAGAAGTGACCAGCTTCATGCTAAAAGTAAAGGAGCCATGATTGACTGTATATTGATCTATTTTATTTATCCAGGTCATGTGAAAGGAAAATGAAACAAAAAGGGGAAAGAAAGAAGAATTGGGAGAAGGCAACACTCTTTCAAAGGAAATTCATATGTAGAACCTTTTAGAAGTGGATGCAGCCTGTAAAGAGGTACCAAGAAAAAGGCAAACTAGAATTTACATCCAAAGCATTCTTTTTTGGCCTTGTACACAGCTTGTTTTGAAAGACTCACCTTGGTCCAACGATGTCCCATCTGCCCAACTGACCCCCTTTAATTGAAGTTACAAGAGGCCCCTGAAAATATGATAAAATCAGATTGCCTGGATTATTTCCTTATGACCGAAAGAGAGGAACTCTGCTATGATAATAGTAATATTATAGTTCTAATGAATCCTACATGTAAGAAGGGGAAAACCCAAAGATTGAATCTTCACCATTGTTGATTTCAAAGCTCAAAGATCCTCTAATATCCTCATATATTCTGCATTACAATCCCTGGAAAAGATTCCTCTATTGGTTATTCTATCTACCTTTTCCCTAGAGTTTGGTCCAACAAAACTCATATTGCGCTGCTGGAAATATTCATGAAGAACAATGTGCCACCTTACCAGCCTAATGTAAATGGAAGCTGTTTCTCCTTCTCAGTTCAGTTTCATTTTCAATGGAGATTTAGCAATGAAAGGAAAATAAAATGTTTGCGAGAAATCTTTATAAATATGATGCAAATAAAAATTTTGCAGCAAAGTTGATTATCTTTGTATGATGAATAAATGACAGGAAAAAGGGCTTACCTTGGGATCCTTTGGATTTGATATTCTTTATAATCAAATCATTTTCAAGGAAACCATGGGATTACAGCCTTTCATGCCAAAAAGGGTAAAGAGAGTGGAAAATGAAAAGAACTTGGAGGAGGAAGAAATGGAAGAACCAATGGATGTCAACCGAGGATATAGAATTTGAGATGCTATCTTTTGATGGATTGTTTGTATCTGTAACTCCAGGGTCTTTGCCAATTCATGCTCCATTTTTTGACAGAATGAGTTTGTTAGTTATTAGTTATAAGAGATCCTGTAACTAACTGCTAAATTTGGCATGAAAAAACAAAAATGTCTATTTTTCTTCATCTTAGATATCCCTTTTCTGTAATTAAGTTTTTGCACTAATTATCCTGTACTGCAATGATGGAAAAGACACTTTCGTCACAAGATCATGGTTTCAGAGCATTGATTAAAGCTTGTAAGAAATTCATGGCAATTTGGAAATAGTTATTTCCAAGCAAATGAGGAAAAAGAAGCTTATTCTCCCAAAGATTGTTAGTCCAACAACCTTAAGCAGGACTAGAGAATTGAACATTTGAGTGCAAAGAACACAAGGTTTGCTGCAAATCATGGTGTTTGGATGTTTGATTCTGTCTCTGAGGATGTCCGGTTCTTGGATTCAGGTTGTCGAATGTCCTCTATCATTCTAACAATTTCATCCATTTTCGGACGCATTTCTGGTGTTTTTGCCACACATGCTAGTGCAATCTGAAGCATCTGTACCATCTCCTCTTGGAAATGTTGGAACCTCAACAGCTCCACATCAAAGACTTCAGCAGTCCATTCCTCCCGCACAACAGAACGGACCCATCTTGGAAGATCAACCACCTCATCATGCCCTGAAGGCTGGAGGGGAGCTTTGGCAGTCAGCATTTCCAGGAGGAGCACACCAAAGCTGTAAACATCAGACTTTTGAGTTACTTTGAGTGTTTCAATCACCTCCGGAGCACGGTATCCCATGATCCGTGACATGGTTACAGGGGCATTCATTAGAGGAGCCAGGCCAACATCAGAGATACAACCCTCTAGTTCATCGCTGAGGAGTATGTTGGAGGACTTGATGTTGCCATGGGTGCATTTACCACCACCCTCGGTATGAATGTGTGCAATTCCTCTAGCAGTTCCGAGGGCAATCTTCATTCTTGAATCCCAGTCCAGTGGAGTTCTCCCTGCACTCCGGTTTCCTATAATTGTTGGAAACAGATAAAAAAGAATTCTACATCAACATTTTGCAGTAGAGTATTTGGATTTTCCAAGTAAAAATGAGAAGTTCCACGTAAATACTAGTGTGGTTCCAGGTGCTAAGTCCTAATTGTTGAATTTGCCTCTTATAATCACAAAGAAATATTTAAAAGAATGAAATCAACAATTATATGGAGCCAGAGCTGCATCACCATGTCAGAGATAAAGGATTCTCAACTGATTCTGCGTTTGTTAAAGGAATTTTTGAAGAACTTAGGCATCGTATGAAGACCATAGCCATCCCTGTTTGTTCTGATATTTTAGGAAAAATAATCACTTAAATGATAGGCTTTTCCATGTTCAAAGTTTAGTTCTCTGTTCCAGGTCGCAAGAATACAGAAGACAAAAAGAAAAGAAAGTCATATGATGCTAGCTGAGAATGATGCTGCGATGGAGTTGAGAAAGAAGCATACCATGCAAGAGTGAGAACAAGCTGCCGGCTGGCATGTAGTTGTAGACTAACAGCTTCTCATCCTTTGAATAGTAATAAGCACGGAGTGGCACAACATTGGGATGTCGTCCGACCCTGTCAAGAACTTCCATTTGCTGCTCAAACTCCCTTTTCCCAACTGCAACTTCCTTCAATCTTTTCACTACCACCTGTGTCCCCTCCTCCAAAGCAGCTTTATATGTCGTTCCATAACTGCCCTTACCAAGAACTTCAGCTGAAGCTTTCAACAAATCCTCAAGATCAAAGTTGTAAGAGCATCCTTCAAAGAAGAACAATTTGTTCTTTTCAGCTTCCTGCACCCCACTTCCAAAATCATTAGGCTTATCACTCTTTCCACCTCCAGAGATTTTTTTCTTCAGCATTCCACTGCCCCCACTGTCTTTCCTCTTCAAACAGTGTATAACGACCACAACTAGCAGTAGAAACAGAAATGCTAAGCCCCCAACCACTAGGGCAATGATAGAGCCAGCACCAAACTTGTTTTTCGAAGAAGCATGTCGACTTTGAGAAACTGTTGATGGGTTTGGAAAGGAAGATGGAGAAGGAGAAGGTGAAGAGGAGACTGCAGAGCAAAGCTTTAGTGGCGAACCACATAAAAATGGATTCCCAATAAATGAAGAAGAAGGAAATCTTTTGAGGGAATTTGGAATTGATCCAGTCAAGTTGTTGTAGCTGAAATTTAAGACTTTGAGACTTGGGAGATTGAGATAGGGGATGGCTCCGGATATAGAGTTGTTTTGGAGGTTCAGAATAGCGAGTCGTGTCAGATTCTGCAGCGTAGTTGGAATGATTCCAGTGAACGAGTTGTGGGAAAAATCCAGTACATTCAGCCGGGGGGAAAGAGAGGCAGGGAAGACACTGGAGAAGTTGTTGTATTGGAGGAATAAGCGGCGCAGAGAAGGGATGGAGGGGATATCAGAAGGAAGATTTCCATTGAGGTTGTTGGATCGAAGGCTGAGGACTCCGAGAGCATCAAGCTTTCCTATGGTATTAACCGGAATGGGGCCCGAAAGTCCTATACCTGGTAGACGAACAGCAATCACGCGGGTTCTATTCAAATCACAAGTTATGCCAACCCAAGACGTGCAAACTGGGGCAGTTGCATTCCAGTTCAGTTTTCTGGCATGTGGGACAGCAGCAGCAAAGTCAAGGAGAGCTTGCCTGTCAGAATTCAGGTCCGCCAAAACCAGAGGAAATTTATGAAGAGGCAATTGAAGGAAAAGGAAGGTAAGCAAGGCAATGAAGGGCTGGAACTTCATGGACATCTATTCAGTACGAAAGATAGGCAATGATGCCTGTCTGACTCGAATACTTTCTGCTGCTCTCCTGGTTCAGCTATAGAAAACGATGCAACATAGTGAGCTGAACACGTAGCAGGGATCATAAACTTAAAACAACCACATATATAGGCAAATAGATATAGTAATCTGTCCTTTCAACTTAAAGGTGCTAAAGCAAAATTATGCAGCCATTGACAGTGGTAGCACTGTAGCAGTTTATGCATAATTTGGGTTTGAAATTTTTTTCAAAGGTAACAAAAAAGATGGACTTTTCGGCATTAGTAAAGCAAAGCTCTAAGAAGAAAATGAAGTTGGCCCAAAATATAAAAATTTACAAGCATTTTACAAGTTAAAAATACATAAAAGAAATGGGGTCATTCATATTCAAAAGCAAATTGGTAGGAAAAGAATCCAAGGAAAAAAAAAGAAAGCATCATCATAAAGAAAAAGCAAAAGTTGCATTATTCTCTGTTCAGTAAAGAGAAGGCCTCATTGCATGAAAAGTAATCTCTTTAGCACCCCGGCTATATAGGTGTCACCAACTCATGTAGTATCTCTCATTATGTTATCGATTATGTTGGTTTCCTTCGACTGTTGGATGTAGGCTAAGGGCTAAGGAGCAGATTTCTGGTGGGGAGCACAAATCAGTTTAAAATGGGACAAGGAAGCTCTTCTGGGAAAGAACACTGACTTATTTGAATGACAGAAGATTGTTGTATAATAATTAACAATGCCTCAGCTATTCATATACTTTTTCTTTTAAGTGGTGAAGAGAACAACTGATACTTTTACTCCCATCTTTTCCAGGAGCAGAACAGTGTTTAGAACAAAGAGTGCATACTTTTCATAAGTAAATTTTGGTTTCAAAATGAACCATATCATATCTCTAATCCCTGCAATTTACCTGAGCAATAATCATCACTCTTGGAGTAGTAAGCCCAGGATCAGTTACCTCATTCCCCTACCGGTTACCAGACAGGAAATCATTTCTTTTCTCAGCAGTTCTCTGGAAGGATTTTTTCTGAGAAGCATCATGTTTTCTCTAATGTGCAGGAAGTTGAGAATTTGCCTTTGAAATGTATAATGGAGATCAAAAAATTTATGTCATATATTAAAGTCCTGCTGTTCATATCAAAATTAATGCAGCAGAATTAGCTGCTAGCCGCACCAAACCCAAGTTAGCTGCGATGTCTATTTAGTAGCTTTTGAGATGGTAGCCAGCCAGGTTGGTATAACTAACTTGTAATGATGGAGAGCAAATTCATTAAAGCTTGAACAGAAAAAAAAGGTTTTGCCTAGTGAAAATAGGGATCAGATAGCTTTGTGCATGCATAGGCACCAAGGTTAACTAGATTTTATCCGTGGACTTCCTTCTTTTCTGCTGGTGCTGTGGGCAGAATCCGGCCACTAGTCCCTAAAGTGATGGTTTTCTCTCCCCTTCATCTTTTACATGTACAAAAGATAAAGTGAATTTCTCTCTCTTTTTGGATAAAAAGTGAATTTAATAAAGTACCAATCAGGCAGACTTAGCCATGGCATTTAAATTTGAAACATAAATGCTTGTTTGGGTATTCCATTTCAATCCCTGTAAACCATTCTTCATTATGGTCCAAGTACATTATTCTGAGTTTGAATGGGATGAATTGAAAACACAGGGGGGATTTATTGAAGGCCCTTAGACCTTGACTTAACTTGATGATAATCAACAATCTCTGGCATGAAGGAGGCACTGCTTGAACTCACGTGGTAGGGTCATTTCCCTGTCCATTTTGTCTTTAATTGTAAGTTGCAAGAAGTAGCTAGGAAGAGCATAGTTCTCGTATCAGCAAGGGCAAAGCTAGTTAGCTTGCTTGTGGGGGCAGTTCCAAGTGAACAACAGCTATCTCTGGTTAGGAGTCATTATCCAACTTCATTATCTACGTGTGATCGATAAAACAGGGCATGAAACAGATTCCAGTCTCCGTAGCAGGGAATTGAAGAAGTACTAAGAAATTTAAGACTAGTTGACTGAACCAGACAGTGGGGCCATGGTTAATGGCAGAGGGTAGGTGGCAGTTAGCAGGCCGTTATTAATATAGCATCTTAGCTTAACATCAAAAACTATCATCCTAGGCT